GACAGAGATCCAAATGAAGATGTGAGTGCCTCAGACTGTTTTCCGATGGTACTCAGGAGGGGCCGCTTCATAATCACTGGCACTAAACAAAGTTGCCGAGTTCTTCGCCAGATACTTGAGGCAATCATGAAGATAATTCAGTAATAAAGCAAGGCTCTTCTCATCCAGAGGTGTATAGGCCAACATTGCTCCAGTTCGTACAGATAATCTCAGTAGGTGTGGTGCTCCATACACCTGGGACATGGGTGTGTCAGGGTGACAGCAAGGATCTCAGCATACTGTTGTCTCTCAAATTTGTAGAGGAGCTGAGTGCCCTGCATCACATTGAAGTGTTCTTTTATCCTTGCTACCACCTCATTCACAGCATACTCATTATTATTGTGTTTCCTTGCGATTTCTTATGATTTGCATAGTCCTCTAGAGTGGAGTCCACATTCTTCTTGGCAGGAAGATAAAAGGGCTGTTTCTGCCCGGTAATTAGGTCCCAGTCATCAATAAGCCATGGTTTTAGCTGTTCGGGGATCTTTAACTTCAGCTCTGTTCATAAATGTTTCTTCATTTTCAACAGTAGGATCAACCCGAGCCCTCTTCTTCCGAGGAGGCAGAGGTGTCTCACTGGTGCTGCCACCATCTCCGTTACCAGGGGTTTTTTGTTTGTTCTTTTTAGTTTTCACTTCCACATTTTTCTGTTGCAGACCAGCTGTCTTGTTTCCTGGAGTAGCCCCTCTCATCTTCCCCTCTGCGTACTGCTCCTGATTGGCCTTTTGAAATTCTTGCTGTTTCTGCAGATTGGTGTCCACATACTTGAGTACTCTGCTTTCTGGAACCCACTCAATAATATAAAGTGTTGCACTTGTTTGTCCTTTATGGCAGCCTTTACACACTTTGCTTCATAAAGAAGAGGCCCATAACAGCACAGTACTTGTTCATCCTCTTGGAACTTGGGCTTCGGGCAGGACCCGAAGCAGGCTTGGGCGCCATTTGTATGTGATTCGCCGCCTCCTCCCACCACCCCTGACTACTGCCCCCTACTCTCTACCCAACCCGAGCTTGTGTCCATTTTTGGCTTTTTTTGTGGCTGTGGTAGCATCCATTTTTTCAGATAATTTTTGATAACACTTTCTACATTGCTAGCCTGCATTTCTTGCTAACCCTAACTAACCTGTTATAAAGTAAATGTTTTCTTTAAGTAATTTGTATCCATGGCATTTCTTCACAGGTTAATAGCTTATCGATAATTAATTCTCTAATTTTTAACATGGGAATCTTACAGGTGACCCATTGCTGATGCATATAATACGCAGTGGCTGTACCACGAATTAATTGTATTGTAGTTTTTACAAGACTTTAATGGTTTCCTTATGAACTGTAATATGACGATACCTGGTCTATGAAATCAGGTCCCTTGTTTGTATTATTGTACCACTGGTGTCCAAGATGCCCACTGGGGCAGTCAGTCCGAATCGGAACCGTGCAGACAGAAGCAAGACATGAGTTCCAGCCCATCACACATCCGTTAGCTGGAGAGTTGCACTGACTGTGGTGTGATTATGGCAGCCTCACCACGATCACCTTGGCTGTTTTCCACCCAGCCTCGGACTTCATTCTGTCCGCTTACAGGCAGCATCTGACGCTGTCCCTGTTTCTGGCTTGGGAACTGCCCCTCCCTGGGGTGATGGTGGAGTGGGCAGCAGGTTCACTAGCAAGCAAGGGACTTGGTGCACTTGGGCTCTGCCGGGGCCTCGCTGGTGATCTGCACGTGTGCTCACACTCAGCCGTGGGGTGTGCAGGAGGATCAGCTAGTTGCTCTTCAGCAGAAGTGCAGATGCCTTGGGACATGAGTGGTGCTGTGGGGTCCAGAGTGCCTGTTCGCTGCCATTTATCCTCCCCTGCCTAGGGTGTATGTGGCATCTCCTTGTCCTCGGGGAGTGCTGGTGGGGTCTGCAGGAAATGGCAGCACTCGCAGGTGGAAAGCCGAGGTTTCCAATTGCGGTTTATACTCTTTCTGTCCAGGGTGGGAGTGTGGGGCTCCTCTTCCCTCGGTGAGAGCTTTTGAGGGTCTTGCCGGCCTCACTGTTCCTGGTGTTTGGGTTAGTGGACTGTGTCAAAGGGGCTGGTGCGTGGTCACGTCCAGGAGCTCCGCCTCTGCAGGGCTCCTTCCTACCCTACAGCTATTCCCAGTGTTCTCATTGGAAACAGGCTGCAGGTAGAGCTGGAGAGGTGCTGTTTCCTCCTCCAGGATTGAGGTACTAGAGTCGACCTGCCTGTGCCCTCATTCCAACTCCTGCTGTAATCCAGGCTGTAAGGCTTGTCTTCACTGCAGGGTACCTGCGGTTTTGAGCGCCTCTTCAGCCCTGCATCCTCTAGTCAGCCCTGTTGGAATCGGAACTGAAGTTTTGACCTGCCCTAGGAGTAGCTTTGAAACAACATCTTAATTTGTTCCGAAATAATTGTGTTTAAGGAATATTTGGGATTGGTTTTCCCCTAGCTGCTTTTGGTGGACAAAATCACTATGGTTTCACTTTTAGAAAAAAAATATAGTATGTTCTTAAAAAATATGAACAGCCTGCTTACAAAAAGACTGCTGTAAATTAAACATCTAAACATTCTTTTTTGGTTCAAGCACCAAAGATCATGTTTTTACGTGGTAGAGAAACAGTGAAGAGGGAAATGTCCTATTTCTGTGTCACAAGGCAGGTCGGAGTGAGTGCTGATGGAAGCGGGGCATTTTGTCTTGATGTGGCTGCGCTTCTGACCTCTGCTTCTGCCATTTCTATCTTGGCTGCCTTTTCTGTTCACTGCTTACTTGAAGTATGAGAAGTGCAGTTTTGTGAAGGTATGAGCAGTTGTTCCAAGCCTTGTGAGTGGGAGACAGACGCACAAGTCAAGGTTGTACTGCTAAGAAGTATGGCTTTAGGGTTGAGCCTAGCTAAAGGAATTCTTCAAAGAAAGGAACCAATTCCAGGGGTTATATGTAGATATTCTTCAAGATTCTCTCGTTGAGCTGGGAGTGTAGGTTGCTGGTTGAGCACTTCCCTGGCCTATATGAGGCCCTAGGTTTGACTCTCCACACTGTAAAGTAAATGAAGGAGAAGCAGAAGGAGGAGAAATAAGCAAGAACCCAGGAATACCTGCTTACCTCTCCTCTGTGCTTGGTACATGTTCTCCCACATCTTCTCCCACATCAGCTGTTTGCTTCTGGCTGCTAACTGCCAGCACTACCTAATACCTCCGGGGCTTTCCCCTGTTGCTGCTAAATTACCTGCACACCTCTCATCCACACCTTTGCCACTCCCTGACCCACCTCCTCACCAGCTTGTTCCTTTCCCAGTCCTGACCCACCATAGTTCGTGGCTTCTTTTCCATTAGTCATGAAGGCTAAACATCTGAATCATTATTTACCAACTAGTTTCCCGTACTGTTACCAAGTTCTTTCCCATTTTTTTCAGTTTCTAGAAACAGTCTTATTGTGTGCCAGGTCCTGGGTTAGGCTTTCTATATCCACTGTTAGCATTTCGTGAAGTAGGTTATATTGTTTATTTTTCATATCACAATTTATGGGTTAGGCCCATACAATTTAATTGATGTGCTATTCAAACACAAGGAAATGTTGGACCAGGGATTGGAAGCTAAATGACTTTAAAATCCAGTCTCTCTGCATTAAGCCGGCTTTCCCCTGACATATAGAGAGGGTCCTTCCTTGTTCCATACCCAACTGCTTGTTCTTCTGGGACATTTTACTTTTTTTACGAGTGTGCTATGCTAAGCATATGCAAAGATTTCTGGTCCTGTGAATTGGTCATGCTCTTCTGTGCCTCTGAGCCTTTGTTCTCACTTGGTTCCTTCAGTTTATCTTCACTCCTGTCTGGCTGACAAGCTCCTTTTCAAGTACCTTTTCAGAGAACATTGCTATGTGGCCCCCTTCACCGCCACCACCATCTCCAGGAATTGCTACACATGTTGTTGAGTTAAGATGATTATTCTCTATTCCTGAGTGGGATGTGATCTCTTTTGAGGGTGACACATTAATCTTTTAAATTTTGTTAGTCTTAATTGTAATTTGAAGCTAATACAAATATCCTGTTTTTTGTTTGTTTGTTTGGTACAGGGAATCGAACTCAGGACCTCACACTTGCCAGACAGGCCCTGTGCTACTGAGCTATATCCCTGGCCCAAAACATCCTGTCTTTATGATAAGACACATATCATAATTTATACCCATTCTGAAAGACACTGTGACTGTGGAGTTAGTCTTCTAAAGTTGGTCATATTTGGCTTATTTGTGCATATATGTAGGCTAAACATTTGTCCTTATGTTAGGCGCTGTGGCAGGTGGTTGAGATAAAGGGAAGCATTATGGGGAGAAAAGCAGAATGATTGGAATAAAGGCAGCATTTTCCTGAAGGTAGGATTAGGAAGGAAATGCACCAGTGATCTGGGATCATGAAAAGTTGTAATAATAGCATGTGACTCCGAAGGGTTTTGGTACTCGTGTAACAAAGTGCTTGCCACTTGGTGGGAAGTCAGTTAATATCCATTTAATTAAATGAAGGAACAATTTACCGGTTATTGAAGTAATAAAAGGCGTAAGTTTCAATGTTAGGATGTAATGCTTTTGCTTTTATACTGACAGACTTGTAACCTTCAAGATAAAATTCAGAAAACCAAACTATTTCATGGTAATCTGCAGAAATTCTTTCCTTGAGCAGGCCTGTTGTAATCAGCATGAAAATAGGTGGCCATTACAGGTTACAGTAGCTCTGTGTGTGATATATTTTTTCTGTTGTAACTTTTTAAAACTTACTAAACCTCTCCTAGAACTGCATTTTGTTTTGTGTTAATGAAGTATCCCTCAAAATGGGATTCTTCAGATATTCTTGCTAATGAAATACTTGTGAAGAGTGCTTTTCCTCCGTTACATGTTCATTTTATTGTATTATCCTCTCCTTAATGTAACTCGCCCTTACCCCTTATCCTCCGCACCTCTTTTGTTTTTGCAGTATCTCTTGCTCCTCCTCCTCCCTCCATCCTACAGGTAACTCCTCAGTTACCTTTAATGGGATTTGTGGCCAGAGTCCAAGAAAATAGTAAGTTTATGTCTTCTTTATGCTGTAGATCAGATTACAGGCATAAAATGTCATGGATACATGATTACTGAATAGTCGTTCACTCACTGATATTTCAGATACTTGAATATTATAAGTCAGTGTATGAATGACTAATGGGGAAGATAAAATAATTAAGGTTAAATTCTCTACTTTCAAATAGCTTTAAATCTGTTAGTAGCTGGGGTTGTAGCTCAGTGGTAGTGTATGCTTAGCATGAATGAGTCCCTGGGTTTGATTCCTAGCACTAAAAACAAATAAACAAACAACAAAAAGGGAGGGGAAAGTCTAGTTATAAATATGGGCAAATGTAAATGCGTATATAAGAGACTAACTATCACATCTGAGGAAATCCAGTCCAGTTACCAGGCAGCCCTCCTTGACTTTGGGGCTGTCCAGAGCCCTAGCGGTCTAATCTCCTGTCACTGTCCTATCTCAGGGTAGTGTAGGTGCCTGGCAGTTGCCCTCCAGTCCATGGTGTGGTAGGAGACAAGAGGACCAGCCTGCCAGTTTGTCTCCCACAGGCCTTGCAGATTGGCAGTGAATTTCTTTGGGTTTCTAGTCTGGCGCTGAACCCTGTGTAATCAGATAGCTGGTTTTCCTGGCATACTGACTCTCCGAGAGAAGCAGTAAGGAAGCTCAGGAGATGTGTATCTCCAGATCGAGAGTCCTGTGTCAATGTGCAGTGAGGAACTGCGGTCACAGAAGCAAGGGAACATAGTTCATGTGATGAGGATATTCTTGCGCCCAGTCTGCATGAGGGACCATGTCACAGTCATCGGTTTACACGATGGGTGTAGAATCTGAGCAGAGGGTTTATAGTTGACCCTTGAACAACGCAGGTGTGAACTGCTCGGGTCCACAATTTTAACCACTTGACAGTTTACCCTGAGTGTCACTTGGATAGCGTGTTTGTTTATATACTACCCTGAGTGTTGCTTGGGCAGGTGTTATTTCAACCAGTCAATTCTTGTATCGAATAAATTTGATGAAAATTACCTTTGTTCTATTTCCTGTTATATTTTAAAAATTAATGAAAAAAATCCAAGTTTTGGTCAGAAGATCCTGTATTTAAATAATTGGACTAGTAAGTGGTAAAAAACTCATAGACAACATGCATCCCAGAAATATTTTTAAAAAGTTGAAAAAGATAGGTATATTATGAATACACAAAATACTTTAGGTAATAGTTTTTTTTAGATGATACTCTTTATTATATTTTTTTCTGAAATATACACAAACCTATTACAAAAGGTTAAAATTTATCAAAACTTTGTTGTAACAACAGACCACATATAGCACCATGCACAGTTGAAAGAAATGTAAACAAGCATAAAGATACACACCAAACTCTATAGCATTAACTCTGGTAATCCTGCATTATCTGTAAGAGTTTTGTAACTGCCTCCTGTTGTTACTGTGAGCTCAAGTGTCTTGAAGTGTTTGCTTAATACCTTGTGTTGGGCTAATTGTCTTTGTGCGAACACTTCAGCTCGCTAATTATATGTTACAGCAAAAAGTGATCTCTCACGGTTCTCAAATATTTTTATAGAACAAGTTGTAATAAAAATACTGAGAATATATGAAAATTATTAAAAAGTTTATTACAGTAAAGCACAGAGGGCAGGGGATACAGCTCAGTGGCCACACTGCCTGCCTGGCAAAGTGCAAGGTCCTGAGTTTGATTCCTGGTACCAAGAAACAGGACTAAGGACACAGTCCATTAATCACCCTAAAAATCCATCCTCCCCTTGGACACACATTCTGTTGTTACTGCCTCTTTCTGAAGCAGTTCTGGAAGTCCTTTTTCATGAGGGTCTTTGTTGTTGTAGCCGCCTCAACATCCTGAATTAATTAATAATGTTTACCTTGTTGACTGGGTGAGAACCACAAGTCCTACCTGGCCAGAGCCAGCAAAGGAGGTGGATAAGGATGCACCATGATTTCTTTTCCTTTTTTTTGGTGGTACCGGGAGTCGAACTCATGACCTCATGCTTGCCATCCTCGGCCCACCATGATGTTTTTACAAGCTACCTGTTTCCATGGAGGGCACTTGGCAGCAGCACTCACTGCATTTTTGATTGTACGTTGTAAAGACACAAAAGAGAACTCCAGAACTGTTTCAGAAAGTGGCAAAATGATGAAGTAAGTATGTTCTAAGTGTGTGTGTGGAGTATTTTGAAGGGAATTTGCATCAGTGTGTATTTTATTGTAGTAAACTTAAAAATGCATGTATTTTGATCATACCATATACACAATATGTGTTGACTGTTACTGGCTAAGCTTCCTGTCAATAGTGGGCTATTTATTATAGTTAAATTTGGGGGGAGATGAAAGCTACTTGCAAAGTTTTGATCGCTGTGAGGCTGGGTTAAGGGTCAGCTGTACCTTAAGATTTGATGTCATCAGGCCAAAGTAGCTCAACATATGCATCTCATAGCAAGGAAGGTGGCACTGCTGGGATAGAAGTATTTGCAGTGTGTTGTTTGGGATCCTTTGGGTGTAGGCATTGCCGGTAGTAGAATCTGAGTTCTGTGATGGTAGAGACTTTGCCATTTTGTTTGCTGTCTTTTTCTCCATCCCCTAGGAAAGTATGTGATGGGTAGCAGCACCCCTGTGCTTCTGTAGCAAACTAAATATCAACACATGAAAAAAATGTGTTTGTACGTTCACTGATGAAAATCCAGTCTTAATGTCTTTCTGTTTTTGGAGATAGGGTCTTGCTATGCAGTTCAGGCTGGCTTAGAGTCACTGTGTAGCTCAGGCTGGCCTTGAACTTGCGGCAAATCCTCCTGCCTCAGCATCCACAGTGCTGGGATTACAGGTGTGTGCCACCCAGTCTTACTGTCTTGAGTGCTCAGTGTTTCTTTCAGGTGCTTCTGTATCTGTTTTTGTGGATTTCTGAAAAGTTTATTTTACTTTCGTTTACTGGAATGTACCCCTTGAATCCTTGTAATGCTTATCATGCTGTCTGTTCTTAAAACGTTTTAAGTTTAAGAGCTGCTTTCGTTTATAATTAGTGGCTTCCATGTGTTTAAATTATGCCATGGAGCCCGCCTTCCTTTGGCTTTGGTGTGGCCCGCACCGGCTCAGGGATAAAGTGCCATGTCAGCGAGGGCCAGCTGGGGCGGCAGGTGCCCAGCATGGCCACGGCGTGACTCTGCCAGGCTTGTGCATGTAAATGTGGCACACAGTGTAACTAGGTCTGCTCTTTTTTAAAATTTATGCTGTATCTAAATAGCAGACCAAGCAGAAAAGGGTTTAATCAGTACCAAAATGGAAGTACTTTGCAATGTTGGTTGCATTTTACCTTCCCATCGGAGATGGAAAGTTCCAGTAAGAGAGAAATTTCCTCTCATCACAAGTCTAGTTTAATCACATAGTCACTTGAAAGATGCTTTTCACTTTCTTAAAATCACGATGAGCGTGCGCATTGGAGGATGCCATCATTTGGTTCCTCCTGCGTGTTCTGTTCTGTGAGATGATAGCACTTCCCCAAATACAGAAGTTATGAGCAGCTTCTAGAGTACAGGCCAGTTTCACTGGAGACTAATCCATCAGTTAGACAAGAGTGTTTACACAGAAAGTAAAAGGTGATTTTCTTTGCAAAAATCTGGACCTAATGTTGAACAGGATTATGAAGCAAGGTGTCATTAGATTTCACCGGTCGTTAGTGAAAGTTACAGTTTGTAGAAATAGCGGAATGTTTCATGAACCGCCCCAAAGTACTGTTTAAATGCAACGTTACTGAAATACTTGGTTACCAGTTTAAGACTTAGTGCCCGAAGTAAGGTGACTGAAAATCATTACGTGTATTTTGAAAAGTCAGTTCTTAATTCAGTCACCCTGTCACAACTGGTTACCTTTTGGGATACCCCCAATGCTGGCAAGTGCATGTAACACCGAGTCAGTCTGCAGCCAGGGTCTTACCAAGTTGCTGTGTGCTTGAACTTTTGATCCTCCTGCTTCAGCCTCCTAGGGTACTAGGATTATAGGTGTGTACTGCCATGCCTGACTTACACATGTTATTTTGAAGATACTCTGTGGTAGCAAATACTTACTCTGCATTATATTTAATGTTTGGAAGAAGTATGGAATTGTTTGGGACCAGTTGCAGTGTACCAGTTTGACCGAGCTAAGAAACTCAGTTATGATCCTCGTTCAGGACTCGTCTCTCCTTGTCCTCCCTGTTGCTCTTTGGATAGAGTCCAGACTGCCCTTCCTCCCCCCTCCTCTTCATTTCCTCATGCCTTTCTTTGCACAGTTCTGTGAAGGTTTTCTGCTCTCTTACCCTTGTACTTTTTTTTCTGTCTGTCTAACATGAAACACTCGCCCATGTCAGTTCTCACTTGCCCTTTGGTCTCAGGAAGCCGCCCTGACCTGTGTGCCACTCTCGTGGTCTCCTTATCACCCTTAATCACACTTGAAAGCTTGCTTCTCCTTCTCTCACTCTTCCTGATACTCCTTTCTCAGTGCGGAGCACAGTGCTAGGATAGAAGTCTCTCTGGCCTTCACTGAGTGAGTGACAGCAAAGTGTGTCTTCAGAATTACTACGTTACCTCGGCCACAGTAGCAGAGCGTTGTCTGTGTTGCTGGCCCATGTTTACAACCCATGCTGATCCCGTTCATCCTGGGAACGGTACATACACGCGACATACGCCCTTCCCTCTCCCGCGTCCGCAGCTGCCCTTCTCATCTCCGCAGTCTGACCTGTTTCGCACCGTCTCTTTTTTATTTTTCTCTTTAAACTTATTTATATTTTGGGTTTCTCGTGTAAGAGAAACTATGTGGCATTTAGCCTTCACATGGGATGTATTCACTCAGCATTGTGATCTCCGAAGTGTAGCTCTAAAGAGAACTGGAAAGCCCATCTCTACAATGAATACAATTAAAAAAACCACCTGCTAAGGTAGAGTAAATGAAATAATGAAAGTGCTGGCTGAGTAATTGGAATATTCTAAGTTAACAAAAAAGGTAGCTTTTGATAGTCTTGTTAAACTGACTGTAGGCAGTTATAAGGCAAGTAAAAATGATGGATGACAGCATTTCTGAGTAATTTTTTAGTAGAATTTCTCCAGGTTATTGTTTTGAAGTTTCCTTTGGGCTTTTGTACAGTTACAAATGCAAATAGGGTATATGTTTCTAACTGCACTCATATGCAATTTTTCATAAAGTTAATTAAAATCATGTATGTAGCCAGTGTGTTGGTACATGCCTTTAATTCTAACTACTTGGGAAACTGAGACAGGAGGATTGCAAGTTTGAGGCTGGCCTGGGTGAGTTACTGAGACCATGTCTCAAAAAAACAAAAAAGGGGCTGGGGATCTAGCCTGGTGGTTAGGGCTCTTGCCTACCATGCACAAGGACCTGAGTTCAATCCCTGGGTGACCTTACCTGGAAGCAGAGACAGGAGGATTGCAAGTTTGAGGCGGGTAGGGACAACTTGGTGATACCCTGCCTCAAAAAAAAAGGGGAGGAGCTGGGAATGTAGCCACACATACTCGCCTGGCATGTGTGAGGCCTGAGTTTAATTCCTAGTACTGCAGAACAGCACCCCTGCCCCCAGTACAAATAATAGGACCAAAGGAGGAATACTGAACTAGGACAGAATTGTTGTTAATGTGAAATCAGCAATCTTTAAAATCCATTTGATTCAATTAGTCAGCTTAGATAAAAAAGAGGATTGCGCAGAGAACGTCATGGACACAGTGCGGTAAGAAGCCGGGCAGTGGTGAAGCACAGGTTGGCTTATGTTACTGTGTTGAGGAGTACTGGCGTGTGTGCGAGGCGTTTGGAAAGCCTTGCGCTCTCTGAGTTTGGAAATCATCTCTTAGATATTAACAGTGTGCAGATGCCTGAGCTGTAGCACCAGATCTTGGTAGGAAACACTGTGGGTATCTTAATTTCTCTGAGAGTGCACTGGACATTTAGCCTGAAGAAATTCTGAACCGTAAATTAGTTTGAATTAGTTGAAATTCAATAAACAAAACATCAGTATGGAAGTTACCCAAAGTTGTTTGTGTTTTTTCCTCCCCAGATTGGTAAAATACCATAAAAAGAAAGCCTATTATTAAGATTTGACTATTCCCTGGACTCATTTACCTTTATTATAAATGAGATATACTTATAAATGTCCAAATTATTAATATTTCCGAAAACAACTCCTTGAATATGGTGTAAAGTCAAACTATATTATACCGTACTGATTTACTTGAAAAGACATACGTCTTAGTGTAAAAAGACTCCAGAGGCCCAGCTGATAGTAATTATTTAGACTAAACTTTATTCAGCACCCATCAGCCTAACAAAGGGAGAGAGAAAGCTATGCCTGGAAAGTTAGAATGTGTCAGTGGGAAACCTTTCCTTGCCAGTTCGTTTTTGGAAGATGATTATTTTCAGATTTAAGTGTATATTGCATGAATCTTGAAATTTAAGTAGGAAGTGCTGAGCTGTGCACAGTTTTGTTGTCAGCTCAGCGCAGTACCTTCTCAGTTTCAGATGCACCACCTCCACCACCCCCTGCGGAGGAGCAGGTCTTTGATGAGTCACCACCCCCGCCCCCTCCCCCGGAGGATTACGATGAGGAGGAGGCCGCTGTGGTCGAGTATAGTGACCCCTATGCTGAAGAGGACCCGCCCTGGGCGCCAAGGGCCTACTTGGAAAAGGGTAAGTTTTTAGAAGGCTCTCAGGAAGGTTGGGACGATGGAGAACTGAGATTGCTGGTGCTGAAGAGAATCTTGTTTATTTTTTAACAATAAGTAAAGTTTTATTTGTGTTATCAGTTTAGTTTTAGTGATTTGGTTTACAGTGTTCATGATTTTGAAAGTCACCTAGTTAAATTTTTAAAATAATTTTTAAATTAATGGATATCTATTGTTCCTGTTGAGCAGCCATTTCACAGATGGTTTTTATAAGACAAAAATTATAAGAGAGTGGTTTTCTGTTTCCTTCAGAATGGTCAGGAAGAGAATTCTTTTTCTGCGCTGTTTGTTACTCCTGTTGCCTTACTGTAGAGCAGTATCTTGAGTTCTCTTAGGTCAGACATTTTAGTGTAAGTGTCTCCATAGGAAACTTGGAGAAGAGGAAAGAGTAATGGTTTCTCAGTTTCTCTGCATAGCAGCATTGGGCCCTTCTTTCAGTGAAAAGTTTCTCAGGCTACCTTAGCTAACCATGAGGCAGCTACCTTGGGATACCGGCTTCCCAGTCTCGTCGAGACTGTCAGCTCAGAAGAACATGTGTTATCTGGAAGGAAATTTCCTGGTAAGGAAAGCAAAGTACTAATGCGTTGCATCTCAAAACTGGCTGTGTATTAACAGCACCTGGGAGCTTTTATTAAGAAATAGTGGACTCTACTGTGGGCCAACATAGAGCAATAGTAATGAACTTTACCCTTTCTTTTTAAGACAAGAAATAATGCTTTTTAGATACTGAGTAATAGGCAGTGACTGACTCTGACCCCAGAGAAGGAAATCAAAGATTTCTTATGTTGTATAACTTTTATAAACACTGCATATACTTGAGAAGGTTAAAATACAGGAACATGAGTGAGAAGTAGGATATATTTTTAAAGAATGACCAAAAAACCCACACAAAATTTCTGAAGATTGAAAATACACCCACTGTCCAGGGTAGGTGGCTCATACGTTTAATTTCAGCACTCTGTAATGTGGAGAGTCACAAGTTGGGGCCCAGACTGGGAAACTTAGTGATTTAACAAGACCCCGTCTCAAAAACAAAAAACGAAGGTGTGGGCATGTAGCTCAGTCCGAAGACCCTGGGTTCAATGTCCTGTACTGCAAAACAGACAGACAAAAACATAACAAAACAAGCCAGTGTGGTGGCACATACCTATAATCCCAGCATTCGAGAGGATGAGGTGGGAGGGTTGCCATGAGTTTGAGGTCAGCCTGGGCTACCTTGTGAGTTTAAGTCCAGCCTGAATGACAGAGAGACTGTCTCAAAAAACCGAAAAAAGAAAAAAAGAAAATGAGTCATAGAAAGTTTAGCTTTGTCTTTGATCTAAGTACCAATAATTCAAGATTCATTAGAGTAGGTAAGGTGGCCAGGTGTGGTGGCGCATGCCTATAATCGCAGCACTCAGGAGGCTGAGGGCAGGAGGATCAATCACTGTGAGTTCGAGACCAGCCTGGGCTACACAGTGAGCTCAAGGCCAGCCTGAACTGTATATAGCAAGACCCTGTCTCCAAAAGACCAAAAAAAAAAAGATAATATAAGGTGGTATTCCATTTTGTACACTAGGAATGATAGAAGCTAATATATTTATATGCAATGTTTACCCGTGAGTAAGGCCTAGTGTGTGTTGTGTGGATTGCCTCATTTAATAAAAAATGCTTTGAGATAGCAAATGTTACAATTACCATTCGAATTACACAGTTGAGTAAGGAGTTTAGGAAAGTTATACAAACTTGTGTTAGAGCCGGGATCTGCACTCTCAAGCCCACCATTTTGCTGAGCTTCAGCTCTGGGATTTGCCAGACTCATGTGCTGTGTCACTAACTTGTGTGATATTCTTCTGGCAGATTTCTACTGAATTTGTTGGTGCCCATGTTCTGTCCTTCCCTTGAATATCAAGCCATCTGTTCTTGTGTGCTTCCTGCTCAGTGAGACAACTCCCAGTTAGAAGCATGAATAATATATGGTGACTGTCAGATAACATTTCTGACCTCACAAGACAACCCCTTGTCTCGTGATCTTTGTTTTTATAAAAATGCATGCTATGATTCTACCTGGGGATTCCTAGAAAGCTTCTCAAAGACATGGTCTTTGTGTTGCGCCTTGAACGTTGAGCAGGAGATCCTCAGGCAGAGAAGGGAAAGCACTAAGGTCTTCCAGCTGGAGGGATCTCCACGCCAAGAGCACAGGGCCTGGGGATGCGATAAGGGAGGCTAGAGTTCTGTGCTTAGGTATTGGGGTGTTTTTCTTTTTAAAAATTTGGTAAGTAGAGGGAAACTATGGAAAATTTTAAAGTAGATTAAAGATCCCATGTACTTACTTAATATCCCCCTCCCCCGTCTTTCTCCTCCCCTCCCTTCCTACCGCCTTTGTTTTCATTCATTCATTCATTCATTCATTCATTCATCTTTCTCTTTCTTGAGACACCTAGAAACAGTGTAGAGCACACTGGAAGGGAGGGAAAGTGGGAGCTGGGAAGACCATTTTGGATACTTTTCAGAGCAAGTAGCAGGGCCTCAGCTGAGGCGGTGGGACTGAAAACTGCAGAGTATACAAATGCAAACAAGGTCTTTCCATGTGGCGGTGTCATTCATCTCACTTGGCTGCTGCTTCAGAGTTACTTGCCAAAAATCAAATAATGTTCTTCAGAAACACTGTTTTACGATATATCATCTTATAGCACCACTTAGTACTTTAAATTTTGATAAAAACAAAGGAATGGGAGCTATTTTACTTCCTGAAGTGTCGGGTTAGTCAGTGGAGTAATTTTCATTCTCAACACCAGCAGTGTTTTCGAATGTTACCTGGAGGTATTTTTGTGCTTTAAGATTGTGCACCATGGTACTTCAGTTAAGGAGGAGGACAGAGAGGAGCTGAGAACTTTTATGACTGATGCTTGATTGAAGGCATCATCTCAAGTCTATCAGCTCTAGGAAGCAGAAGGAAGGAGTTGAAAGTTAGAACCTATAAAACATTCATCATTTGTACTGCTTACAAAACCTTCACGGGCTGTGAGAGACATGTATTCCAGTTGTAACGACTGCTGCGTGCAGAGAAGTGCTTGGATTTGAGGGCTTACCAAGTGGAGCCAGCAAGGATGTAGACTATGAGAGGAGTTAAGGGAAAGGTAAGGTCACTCAGTTTCTCCTGCTTAGGAAGTAGTAAGAGAAATAAAAGATACTGTTGTGGAAATTGTGGAAGAAAATGTCAAGGTAGGGGGACATAGATAATCATCATCTCCAAATGTTACAGGAAGGTTAGTAAAGAAAATAACTATAGGTAGCAACAGGCTGGCTGTGGAGGCACATGCCGAGTGCTGAGATCACAAAACAGAACAGAACAAAACAAAATAGAACCGGCCCCCCCCACCCCAAAAAATACTAGGACGAGACGATAGATCTCAAAACTAGGCAGCTTTTCAGTGGTCACCTTTGAATGAACAGTGCTATTAGAATGAATGGAAGAGGGTGGGGTAGTAGGACTATGTCTGCATTAAAAGCATTGTTTTCATAGAAACAGTCTGCCCAAGTAGATCCTAACGTGACTGTTTATTCAGATTATATTACTCAGTAGTTTCATAGGCTCTTCATCGATAGTGTCAGAGTTACCTTTGTTCTACTTCAGGGTAGATTATTCAAAAATTCCAAGTGATTTTACCTTTTTTCTGATATAGGATAAACTTTTAATTTCCCTAATTCAGAACACGTGGCCTAAATCAAAGAATCTATTGAAATAGGTCATCTCACCAACATTTTGGTTTCCTGGCAGCTTGCCTCCAGTTCCGAGTATGTAATTGACACGTCTGGTTGTGGTACTGTAGAGTATTGACGGTCTTTCTTCTGCTCAGACCGGTCACTTTTGTGTGACATTCTCACCATGTACTTTCCTACACTGTCGTTACATTAGTATCACTCCGTATTTTTCCAGGGCACATTTAAGTTACATTACTGACTCAGCAGTTGAATAATAGAGAATAGAGGTTTAATTCGAAGTATCCACAGTGCTGCCATTTGGTACTGTGGAGATGCACAGAGGTGAGTCAGCAGTGGGTTCTTCTCTCCGGGATGTGCAGTGTGTAGAGATTTTGTGTTTAGACTACTGCTTCTTGTTTCAACTTACATATTTTATGAAAGGATAATTGAGTCCTTTTATTAATCCCAGGTCACTACTGTATGCTACCATCTTTGCTTACGTTTAACTCTGAAGCATATTTCATATAAAATTATAGGATTAAAATGAAAAGATACATTGAAGTTTTGCTCAGATCTTCATAAAATAGTTTTAGAATGGCTTCAGTTGAAATACTAAATTTGTTTGTTTTGTGTGTGTGTGTGGGTACTGAGAATTAGGACTTACGCTTGCCAGGCAGGTGCTGTGCTGCTGAGCTATATCCCTGGCCTCTGGAATGCTAAATTTGAACAGTACACTTTGAAATTATTTTCACATTAGCAGAAACATTGAGGTTAAACAGTGCAGGCACCGTTAGTCCTTCTGTTTCAGTCCTAAGCACATGGAAACTGAAGTGCTTTTAAATTCCTCATGTGATGTGATCTTGTGTGATAATATGCATAATTGAAAAATATTTACTAGACTTTCTGTACTACTGCCAAAACGCTTTTTCAAGACTAAAATCTAGACAGATTTTACATTTCTGTATATTTAATATATACATCTATAGTTATTTTGATAAAAGTCCTTTGCACTAAAGTCTACCTTCCTGTTGATGAATAGCTTCATAGTGAAGAAGTAAATGAAGTGTAGGTCTCCCTACTTCAGTACTGGGGATGGCACCCACAGGTACTCTGCCACTAAGCCACGTTCCCAGCTCTTTTATTTTTATTCTTCTAATGTTGAAATAGGGTCTGAGTTGCCATGCTGGCTTCAAACTTACATTACTCCTGCCTCGCCTCCTGAGGGAGAATTACAGGAATCTACCATCATGCCTGGAAAAACAATTTTTAAGAGCAGTTTTTTAATTGGAAAAAAAATGATTTCAAAAGTGATGATTAACTTTGACAACTATACCACTGCAAACATTTGAGTCTCAGGAATGATCTTTAATGTGAATACTGTCTAATTCAATTTCACTTTAAAGAATAAAATGGATGAATGTAGAACTTTAAAACTTTGCAATTCTGCTAAGCTTCTCTTTGTTGTGGCAGCCTTTATACTTTCTTCACAATTACTTTTCAGTGGGTTTGCATTGCTAGAAAACAGACTGGCAAAACTAAATACTCTTGTATTCTCTATAACAAGGTTATAGTTAAACTTGTGTGATGTAGTTACATTTGTTTAGGTGCATGGTTATATTTTGAGAAATACAACTCTTTCAAGCTAGGCCTCTTTCAAGTATATTATAGTTCCCTGAATGTATCGTGATAATAGAAAATATTCACAGATTAAGAAACTTACTTACTTTACTAAAGCTGGCCAGAAATACACAGTTTCTTTACTTAGAGCAAGTTGCATTATATCAAAAGTCTCTCTTGTGGTTTGTTTTGCATTTGCATGAAGAGGTTCCCTGAGAGACTAGCAAAGACAGTATATGCTTCTCATAACATTGAATGGATGAGATTTTATTGAGTGAAGTTCTGGGTGGAATTTAAAAAGGTACAGGGGATGAACAGATTGGAACTATAGTTAGCTCTTCAGATGGATTTGAATAAGCTATGAAATATCCCAGTTTAAACTGTTAGGGCAGATATAATATTTGGAGTGAGAGATTTTCTGAGGTAATGGTTGAAAGGCCTCATTATCAGTGACTTGAGTAATAAAAATGACAGGAGAGCTTACACATATCTTTTTCTCTTAGGACTTTTAGACTATTATTGTGGCTCTGTTAAGTTGGTGACGTAGTGCAGTATGCATCTGAAAGAATGTCATGGAAAAAAAAAGTATATGTCGTGGGCCTCCAGTATTCATGCATCACCTGTGGGATTCTATCAGTGAATAAGCATAGGCTACAGAAAGGAGACCTCAGTTGGCCATTTCCCTAGTCAGTCTCATTTTTCATTTGCCTCTTATAATGGATCCTGCTGCACTAGTATATTTTTAATGTTTAAAAATAGATGTTTTTACACAACATGGTGCTTCACCAATAAGCACAAATGAAGATAAATCACTTTTCACGATTCAGAGATTGTCTGTCTCTCTTCAGTATGTGATTTTCTCCCTGTAGACTGCTGAAGGCTAAGTTCGTGGTAGAGGTGTTCCTCCTTATAGGGCTGGTTATTAGAAAAAAATTGTATAGGACTGGTTATTAGAAAAAAATACATTGATGTTGCTTGGAGTGCTTACTTGGTTCTCTTTTTAGGAATAGTATTCTCTTTCACATCCTGTTTTTTTTTTTCCCTTCTTTCTAGTCGTGGCTATTTATGATTATACAAAAGACAAGGAAGATGAGCTGTCCTTTCAGGAAGGAGCCATTATTTATGTCATCAAGAAGAATGACGACGGTTGGTATGAGGGAGTTATGAATGGAGTGACTGGGCTCTTTCCTGGGAACTATGTCGAATCTATCATGCATTATTCTGAGTAAAGCTCAGCAGGGCTGCACTTTCCTCCCAGAAACAGTCAGGTCTTCCCAGACTGTGAAGGCCCTGGGGATTTCCCTTCAGTGAAGTAGAATGAAGGATGCAAATGATAAAAACTACTTATTTTGTTTTTTTGGTTTATTCTCCAGTATTAAAACAAAAACAAAAAACCAAGCCAAGTCTGAACAAATGGATCTTTCTGCCATCATTTGTACTATGCTGAGCTGTCTGGATTGAAATAAAGTGACCATTTCTGAATATGTCAAAGGTATAACAACAAACCATATAGCTTAAATAAATCAGATTAAGACTGATCCAGGAAAAAATCCAGGATCTTTCTCAGGAATACTGTACACCCTTGGAATTTCCCTTCCTGCAAAATCTGTGGCAGTGAACCTTCTCCACTGCCTGTGCTAAGTAAGGGGTTAACCTCATGGCCCAGTGGGTAGCCTACCCCTCATTTTCTTCCACTTGTACGAAGAGGAGGAAACTGATATTTAAATACTATACTTAACTATTTTTACAATTGTTTCAGATGGCTTTTTTCCTCTTCAACACTGTAAATTCTGCATTTTCTCAGTACTTGAGTGTGCCAGACGAGTTAACGCTGAACTCGCTTGCATCTGATCATGTTTCTGTTTGTAGATATAGGATGATGACGTGTGAGTCTCCAAACATTGTGAGATGGTTAACAGTGGCCACAGCTTGATTTTGATGTGCTGCTGCATGAGACTGCACTGGCACTCACGGTCAGCGGACCAGCTGTGAAATGTGGTAGGCTGGCTTGTGTGTGGAGTTGGTGTGTGAAGCTAGACACAAAGGTCTTGAGTTTCTGAGGGAGGAAGCTAGGAACATGCCCTGCAGCAGGCCTGCTGAATCCTTGCCTTCAGTGCTGCCTCAAAGATGGCTCTTGCAGGTCAGACCAACTAACTAGTACTCCTTTTGCTTTTTAGAAAAACACTAGTTTTTGTTTTGAAAGAATAGCAGTTATTTTCAAGTGTCTTTTGACAGTCACTGGGATTACAAGGCTGCTAATGTGCTCTCTGAATGTTACTAATGGCCAGTGTTAGCTGCTGCTGACTCATCCCCCACTGAGCTCTAGAAAAGGTAAATACTTGTCTGATTTTGTGTGACTGAACTCTACAGTAGCTGCTCTTAGTAAGAATTTGAACCTTGTATCTCAGAATAAGACTATTGTGGAATAGGATTAATATGCCAAAATACTTTTATAGTTACATTGATAAAAGAACTTTGAGAGAAACAATGAACATCTCCTTTTGTGTATGACACCTTCAACTCAGTGGAATTTGTAGGTCTAATGGCTTTAATTATTCCCTTTGTAATCCATATTAAATACTGGAAAAATCCCGGAGGTGGTAGGTGCTCAGTAGGTGAATATGATGATGGTGGGCCAGCCAGGGGCAGGTCCAGAGCTGCCAGTGTGGCTTCTTCCTAATCTAGCAATGTGGCCAGATAGTGTCACCAGGTAACCTCCCCTGGCGACAGAGGGAGAGGCAATAGCTGCATATGTTTCAAATGGAGGCCTTGAGCATTATGGTAGTGTAGCTAAAGTTGGTGGGGAAAGGAATGTGTGTAGCAGTGCATGAAGAAACGCAGGTGGTATAGGCAGAGTTCATATTCTACTTGTGGATCTGTTACCAAAGCATAAAACTTCACCACCATTCAACTGAGACCCAGCTATAGAGTTTGCTTAAACAAAACAAGAACCGTTACAGCTTGGCAGATTTGCTTTTAGATAATGGCCCTTAAAATGTTCTCTGAGCCTTTAACGCCATTAACCCAAACAAGACTATACTTGGGTAGGTTAAAATCTTAGTACTAGTGCACAACTAGGAAAACGTTTGAAACCAGTAGTTTTAATGATTTAAGTAACTTTTTTCTGAGAAAGTGTAGTGGATTAATAGACAGAGGGTGCTTCAGAATCCAGTAGCTCCAGTAGGTCACCACCACCAGAGAGCAGCGACAGTGGCGGAAAGCAGAGCTGGTGGCCTCGCCTTACGTGCGCGCCTCACCCACTGGACCCTTGCTGCCTCCAGGTGCACTGAGGACGCTGGTGAAGCCCTCGGTGAAGACTGCAGTGGGGGTCCCATGGGTCAGCTAATTTTTTATTATTTAGTACTAATATGTGTGATTTTGGGGGGCTATATTTTAAATTTTTGTACAGTTTTAAATTCTACAGATTGTCTTTGAAGGATACTATGAAGTAATTGAGCCAGGCCTACCATAATTGGAGACTTTAGTGTATGTAATATCACTTAGATTGCATGCTAATAGTCTGTGAGGGTAGTATTTCCTGTTTTATTGTAAGTTTCTCCCATTTATCTTATAAAGTAAAAGATGGTATTAGGAATTTCAAATGAATTCAGATCTTAGATGCTGCAAAGATGTATTAATATTGTAGCAAAGACGATCTTCGACTAAAATCTGCTGACCATTAAGTCACCATTTTACCGGGATAGAGAGAATTTAATGAGGCTGTTCTTTCTTCTGCAAGTGTTTCTGACTGTGGCCACTCTTTTTCCCTTCAAAAAAAAGTGGAGTGAGTAAATAATTATCCCTTTGGGATATTAATATTTGAAAGTTTGTTATGTTTGACCATGGACAAGGTAATAAACTGGAAACAAAAACAATGCCCGTGTTTCAAAAATCTAGACCTGAAGAGATTGAGGATACTGTTTAGAATAAATATAAATCTTTGAAAATGTCTCTTTGGTATTTTCCATGTTTTGGCCACTTCCTTTTTATCTTCCTCAGAGGAACCTGCGGTTCCCATCTTGGGGCTGGGAAGAGACTGTTGATTTTGCTGTGTTCCTAACTCAGTAGGTGGGACACTCCCATCTCCCTTTTTCCTTCCTGGTACTGCTACTGTTCATTGCCCAGCTAGAGAAAATATTTTGTGCATCTTCACAGTGATACCTGTAACATAGCTGTTCTCCTTTGCAGTTTGATGATGTTGATTCAAGGTTAAGATTTCTCTCTTTGGGAGGCATAAAAATGATGGTCATTTGCCTTTATCTTTTTGCTTTCTGTTTTAGCAGATGACCTTTCTGCCTTGAGCCCTGTTCTCTGACCTTGCATTACCCTTCCTCCTTGAGAAAGCATGGCATGTCTTAGAGGCCACCTTCACTTCTGAAAAGGGTTTGATGGAGGAATTGGCAGGTGACTGCCAAGTCTTTCAAAGAATGGGGATCTATTCATTTTTTAACTTCTTTGGACCCTGGTTGTTAGGGTGATAATTTTCCCCACATGACGTTGGTAGAATCATAGAACTTTAGAGCAAGACTTTTGGTTTAGTCTCATTTGACAGATGAGGTTAGATGCTTTGTTTCAGAAGAACATTTAGGTAATAACACAGTTCCTGACTCAATGCTTAGTATTCTTTCCACTGAACCACAACTGTCTTAACTAAATGTGCTATATTTTCTTTGAAAATTAGTTTTACTTGATGTTTTTAAGAGTATACTTGAAAAGATATGCCATGGTTTGATAAGTAACCATCTGAGTATTCAGACTAAAAGTGTATTAAGTGTAACCTTAATCAGTGCAAATAATCTTCATTAACCTGTCCTAAGACTGCACTCCACATGCCCTCTTCCCGTAAAGGTAAAGAAGAGTGCACTGCCACTGTCCGACACTGGCGGCGCCGCAGAGTGAGCAGCCTTGTCTAAGAGAGCGTTACAAAGACAAGTTACTAAATGGAGGCATTGAGCTCATTACCTTTAAGTTTATGCTGATCTTTGTTTTATTGAGAATCTGTATTAAATGATGAATGAAATGACAGGGCCTAGCTGTGTATAAATGATCCTTGCTAAATATCTTAAGGTTTTTTGTAAAAACAAAAACAAGAAGCTTATTTTCACATTAAAATGAAACCTCTTTTGCAACTTCAGAATTCTATGGAAAAGCAGTTTTTATCATATTTGTGTCCATGTATCTTTTTTCTTAAGAAAACGGTTTACAAAAAAGAATGTAAACAGTTCGCGATCTGGCCAGTTGTATTTTTCAGCTCCCAGAGGGAGAGTTGGTGATGTTGAGTAAAACCATTCAGGAAACTTGAGGGGAGCAGTCTGTTGCCAGTCATGTTTGTGTGTGCCATTAAACCGCCTCCAGACATTGGGGGGGACATTGACTTTTTAATTCTATTGGAATTAATTATTGCTGTGTACTAAGAACTTGACCTAAATAAAATCACACAAAGCGTATTTGAATGTCTTGTGAAATTTATATAGGTAATGTCAGTTTTGTCATTCTGAGGTAGTATCTAAGTGTTGAAAACTTTCCCATTGCCCAAAAGTAGGGAGCTGCTTTTTATGTATAATGTCTTACATAACATGGAGCAGGAAGTAGAAATTATAGAGTGCCTCACTAAGGCATTTACATTTTAGAGAAGGTTTTCTCTGGTTTATGAGTAGAAGGAACTTTCTGGCATGAGCAGAGTCTGGTCTCCAAAGAGATCTGTTGTTCATTCTTCAGTTACACATCCTATTTCTCTATTCCTTCTTGGTTACTGTGGAGTCAACATTTGGTTGAAATACTGTGTGGATAGTATGCCACTTGTTTCATTGTCTTGTCTGTGTACGTTCTTCCTCCAAAACCGAAATTACGTGGAGGACACGTTGGACAACCAGTGTGACTGGTGGTTGGTGTATGGGTGGTGGCAGTGTCCCCCTCTTTGTCCTACTTTGGTAAATGGTGAAGTGATTGTAAACAAAAAGCACATGTGTATGTACCACGACACAGCAGTCCAATATTAAACAGTGATTCCAGAGCTTCCAGACACAAAATGTCCCTGTTTGTATGTGGTTGTACTTTGTGGTTTTAAAAGAAAGCAGTAAAAAGCGATTACTTTTTAAAATGTATTTAATGGCCAAAGCTCCCCAGTCTGTTACAGATTATTCTTAAAGTTAACAAATTGAACACATCAAACTTCAGTTAATTCATCTTTACACTTAACTTGTTCCTACCGAACAGCATATTTTTGGTACCCCAAAATAAAAAGCAAAACCAGGTTCTTCCTGGTGCCCATCCACAAAATGCCCCTGTTGAAATGGTTTTTAAATTTGGGATTGGGTAGGCTGACATAGTGAAAATGTAACTGGAAAAACAAATTTGCGCTGAGTGTATGAGTGCTGTCCTCACTCATTACAATAGATTACTGACAATAACTGGTACGAGTACGTTGGAAAATAACTTAATCCAGCAGTAGAACAAGAACACTATCAGTAGTACTGAATATATCTCTCTCATATATATATTTGTGATATATGTATTTTATATATATATATAGCTTTGCAAAATCCGGGAGCAAGGCACATAATGAAATGAGCATACATTTAAGCAGAACAAGTAGCAACAAAGCTAAAAGGAAGAACAGTTTCATCTTCACAGAGCTGTGCATAATCCTCTGAATAATGTCCTCTATCTGGTACTTTATAATGTAGTTCCTTTTGTCATCTTTCTCATGCTTTAAAAAAGTATATTTCTACACTGTATCTATGGCAGTTTCCATAGCCTAGAAGTCAGTGAGCCTTAACCCCCTGCTTTTGTTTTTAAAGGGAAAGGGAGGGAGCAATCCCAGTTAAATATAATGTGCAATTTTCTTTTAAAATAGTAAACAATAGTTTTACGACACTTAGCAACAACTAGTATTTTACCTTAAACATACATCTCTATAAGAAGAGTTCACTAGTAGCTGATAATGAAATTCAGCAAAATTCATTTCAAACATTCCAGTTAATGCTTATTTTCTAGGAGGGATTGTTTACAAATAGAAAAAATTCAGGAGGTGGGAGATCATGAAAAAACGGCAGTTTTTGGTATTAAGTAGATTGTAATAGATTTAGTGAACAATGGACAGTTCTTGAGGTTTTCCCCTTTGTGGAATGTGCAGACATGTTTTCCTGCCCAAAGGGGTTGAAACATCAACAATCCTGTGCTTGGTAGTAACAGCCACCCAAGACCAGCACACGTCTGAACTCGCTCGTCTCATCCGTAGAGAGCTGTCACCCTGACTCGACTTCTGTAAACATCTTTGGTAGGAAACAGCCCGATCCCATTTAGGTAGATGAAGCCCATCTTTTTGTAAGATCGTCACTTTTTCTATTTCTCCCAAAACTTTCGTTTTCAATAGCACCTCAAAGTTTGCTGTTTGTTTTTTAAATGCTATTCTTCCAAGAGAGTTCAAGGCACTGGGGCTTATAGCAAATAACTTTTCTCTCCTAAATGGTTTATTACTTCAGGTAAAGAGCAAACCAGTTTGAGAGGTTTTCCCTCCTTCAACTGTGTATCAAAGATGTTGTTTTGCTTATTTTTATCGAGCAAGTTGATTTTTAGATTTGACTTGTTCTACATATAGCTCTTCTAAGGTAGCAATAAGAAGGGAGCACTTTACTTTTGTGGGTTAAGAGTGGTAAGGGTGTGGAAATGTTCTGAATGGACTTTAAAAGGAACATCTGAAAAGATAGTGGGCTATTTAATTCTATTGTACTTGCTTTTTCTCTTTGGATCAAATCTCAACTTAGTGAGAGGCCACATTCCTACAGGGTTAGGGGATGTCATCCTTTATACAGATGAAGCAGTATAGGAAAAAAAGTCAATATATCAGGCTGTATTTGCCATCTAAACGCATTTTTTAAAAACTGTCTCATCAAGTGTACAAACCCGTTATACCTACTTAATTAAAGTCATACCTATAACTTAGGGCAATAAAGGTTTATTTGGTCTAAACTTCATTAAATCCTGTGGATTATATCAGCTAAAATGTTTGAAGGGTATATAAAAAAGTGTGATAGTGATACATGGAAATAGGTGTATTTTTCTTCCTTTTTTTTTTTTTTTGGTACCGGGAATCAAACTCAGGACCTTGCGCTTGCCAGGCAGGCACTTGTGCCACTGAGCTATATCCCCGGCCCGATGCATGGAAATAGAAAATGGACTATTTTTAGTTAAAAATTACCTTGTGTTTGTAACAAACTGATTCAGGTGAAAAAGGTGACAAAGGATTCTGCAAGAAAGAGTTCTGACATTCAAATCAAACCAAGCGACACCACTGCCTGAAACACTGTGTAAGGTAATTAATTTACAATCTAACATCCTCTAGACAAGTTTATTACCAGCTGTGTGTTCTCCCACAACAGCAACTTCTGAAACTTGAATGCACAGTTCCTGCAACCCTGACCTCAGGATTGTCACTATTGGAATTACGATCTATTTTATCTTTCTTGATAAATTCAGCATTGTTTTTAGTGACAAGGTAAATATGCACATGAAGGGGACCCAAGATGGTTCATAGCCCTCTAAGACATGCGGCCAGTGGGCAGGAGCACCTTGATTTTGGAGGACTGTGAAACACCATCATCACTGCATTACTTTAAAATTTTCTCATGAAAAGTTGTGTATAAATTAGATTCAGCCATCTTTTTTGTTTGAGAAAGTTCTAGAAATCTTAAAAATCCAGTTTATAATTGACTGAGCATCTAAAACCCTTAATAATTTTCCTTCCCAAATGAGAATTTGCATATATGAGAAAATTATTTAAATCTTTTGAGTAGTAAAAGTCAAGTGATTGAAATTCAACACAGAAGCTTATGTTGCCACCTCTTAACTGAAGTTGTTTTATTAGCTCAGAATAGGTTCTGCTGCCCTTAAGCCTAGAGTGATCCAATTCTGAAGTTAGGTGTAGGAAGAATGAAAGGTGGCCCCATCGAGCAGATCACTAGCCCTGCCAGGTGCCTGTTGCACTGCCCTCAGTTCGGCTGAGTTTGTCAAACCTCTCTGTGTGCTCGTTGGCAGAGCTGTCAGATGTCCCACGTGGCCTGAAGCAGCCACGTGGAGCTGCACAGAGCAGGAGCCAGTGAAAGAAGGCGCAGCACTAGTGCTATCTGGCAGTAGGTGTTTCCAGGGATAATAGTCTCAGGAGGAAAAGAAAAAGCCCAAAAGCTATATTCCAGCCAAAACCAAAACCCTGTAAGTATAATCTGAAAGAGTCACTATGGGTTCTTTTGATTCACTTGTTCCGCACATAAAACTTAAAAAAAAAAAAAAAATTAATGGCTATTTCCATTTTCGGAGAATCATAAAAGGAGTAGCTTGTCAAACGAGCCACTGTACTAGGGTTAGAAACCACGCCTGCCCTTTGGCTCTGCTCAGCATATTGGTGTCCAAAGGTGGCTGCTCGCTCAGGAAAGCACACCAGAAGCAGCAGGTCAGGATGGCTAGCATCAGGATGGACAGGAGCAAAGCCCATCCTGCCAACAACAAAGACTGCTTTAGGACTCAAGTCAGGAGTGAAGGTAGAAAGAGATTACTTTATCCTTAAGAAAGTTAAAGTTGTCTACTTTCATGGAAAAAAAAAAAATCACACACAAAACTCAAAATGAAAACTTAAGGGAGAATACTTGATAACTTGATTCATATTCTTAAGAACTTTACCCTGCAAGTATGGGTGATCCATAGGCCCCAAAGCAGCAAGTAGAAGACTGAGAATGACTCCACCCTGCAGCACTGTGGAGCTGCGCAGTGTGTACTCACGGGTTATCCACACTGCTGCGCATGTGCAGATAACGCAGCTCTACTGAAGGTCACTTTATAAGCATCAGCATAGCAAGCACACAAAACTGTGAGCAATTTTAAAGAAGCAGACTATTACAAAATGCAAAATCGTATCTTATTGCTCCTTAGCCACATGAATGTACTGAACAAACAATATCCTGGAGATGCAGAGTGGAAAGATGCACTGTTTCCTCTTTGTGATGCAGTTCTTTCCTGGAGAGTAGATTACAGTGATGCTTTGTACACAGTGCAATTTTAGTTTATTCTTCAGTTATTTACCTTCTTTCTCCCATTCACTGGCATCACTTTCTCCTGTGGGGCAGTGCCACCACATGCTTGCAGCTTGCACTGGTAATCCTCAGAGCAGGAACAGACTTTCATTACAGGATGTTTCATTTCTCACTGCTGGGATGGCCATTTTTTATTTTTTAAGAGCAGCTCTAAGATTGCATTTTATTCTTAACAGTCAATTTATCATGGTGAACTGATGACAGTACATACTTCTCTCATGTACAAAGGAAAATCAACAGAAAAAAGTATGTAGTATGAAGCATGTAGTATAGTGTCCTTTAAGCGGTGGTTCCTTGTTACACCAAACTGCACACGCATAGTATGTAAGGTCACTGACTGGACTTGGTACTACGCCCTGCTC